CTCTGTCCAGTTGGTTTCTGACAAAGACTAGTGTGATGTTTTGCCTTACACACCTTACAAGAAGAACACTTACATTCCCTAACTATGTGACCCTTCCGGAGACAGATGTAACTTCTTCCATGTCTCTTTAGGACCTTCTGTCTCATTAACTAAAGTAACTGTCTCACACTGGGAGGAATTATGATCTTCATCACAATAACAGCAGGATGACTTACTAGAGGAGGTACCTGTGTATAGGTTAACTCCCCTAGGTCTCTCTCGATCTCTTCTGGGTTTACTGTTGTTGGATATCCCAGCTCATTCTCTGGCCTCGATCTCTGATAAAAATATCCTTAAGATAGAATTGAGATTCCATTCATCATCAGCTACTTGACGACTGATAATTAGCCTCAAGTCTTGAGGAAGCTTCTTTAAAATGACTGGTGATAAGAGTGTCATGTAAGACTCTCTTTCAACTCCAAGTGATTTTAATCCTCTTATATTAGTCTCAACAGTGTCATAAAGCCGTCTCAATCCAGACAAGTTTTGACTCCTCATTACTAGCTCTAGGCTCATGAGTACCTCAATATGATTCGCTTGTATCTGTGTTCGATCACCAAACCTTTTAAACAAGATCTCAATAGCGTCTTGATAATTTGCGGCTGTCAGGGATAATCCAGCAATTGTTTTTTTGGCTGTGTGTCTCAAAAGAGAGATGAGGTACGTGAACTTTCCAATATCTGATAGTTAAGCATTATTGTGGACGGCAGCCTTATAAGTGTCCCAAAATGTAAACCAATTAGCAAAATTGCCATCAAAGGGACGTAAAGACAGTTCTGGTAATTTCACCCTCAGAGTGCTTGTAGGATCACTAACGAGTTCTGCGGACTCTATCTCTGCTTTAATCTCACCCTCGTTTGTGAGTGCAGCTGCTATATCTTCACTCAGCTTATTAAGCAGGTCAAGCTTTCTTTCTAAGGCTAATTTAATTCGTTCCAAGGAATCCCTATCAACAGGAGTACTTACTAATAAAGCATTAAGATCTGTCATTTTTCTGGACACTGCTCCCTTGTGGCCAGCTCTTACACTTTTCAAGTGTCTCAAGTCAGTGGCCATTTTTAATTAAAGGTGCGGTCATGTGTAATTATTAATCAGAAAAACTTTAAAAAAGGAAAAAAATGTATATCAATAAATTAGAGGATAGGCACTCTATCAAAATGACACTACTATGTGTAGCACTCACGACCAGCTCTTGTGTATTGCCCTGAACCTCAGACATCTAATGTAGCAACCGTCTCACGTGAATGTAGCCCCGTCTATGACTGTATCCTTCCCAATCGTCCCAATCATCAGACAAATCTGTCAAATTTCAGGCAATTTCTTTTCAAGAGAAGGAAAAAAGATTTGAAGTGCTGCTATGGTTAAATGATAGGCATGTCTTTACCCCATAATGGCAAGGTATGGATGATTATTTTTACTCTCGTTTCATAGAAATGTGCCAGCTCAAAAATATCATGTGACATAATCAATTTACAGAATAATTTTAAGTAAAGTACATAAACACATGCTGACAACTGTCTCTGTCCCTCACTTTGTCCTCTCCTCTAGCAGTATCTATGCCTCTAGTACTGACGAATCTCTCGTTTTTCCAATTCCAGTGAATGCTAAATCATGTACCCTTCTCTAAAAAGTCAAGTTGTGAAATCATCGAATTTCTGTTCTGTTGTTAGTGCTGTTCAGACTGAGGCTGGGCGAGAAAATTATCACACGTATGATGATTGTAATTTAGAGATGGCCATGGTTGCTGTAGGTGAAGGAAACTCTTTCAGAAGGGCTATAGAAATGTACGGTGTACCCAGAGCAACACTCCACAATCACTATTGTGGGAGGCATGACAATGGAAAGGCTCATCCTAGACCATACTTGAGTTTTGGGGAGGAAGAACTGGTTGTTTATTCAGCACTACATGCAAAAATTGGATATCCTTAAACAAGGAAACAGGTTTTGAAAATTGTACAAGACATCGTCAATACAAAAAGGATTGAAGCAGAGGTTTCAAGTGGGTGGTGGGACAGTTTTTGTTGACGACACCCATCAGCTGTTCCCAGGTCAGCTATGCCATTGTCACTATCACGTGCACATACAACTGATCCAAATGTCTTAAATGCATAGTATGACAAATCAGAAGAGATTCTGAAGTTGAATAAATTTTTGACAAGGCAGGAATTGTGATGAGAGTGGCTTTTCCTTGTCACCTAAGTCCCCTAAAGTTTGTTCTGCAGGGATGAAAGTAGTCCCACTCATTACTTGTGATATGAAGACGCAGGTAACTGTGCTGGCTTGTATGAATGCATCAGGCTATGTACTGCTGCCTTGCATCATTTTTGTTAGGAAGACCATTAATCCTTAGCTTACTGTGGGAGAAGAAGCTGGCAAAATTTATGGCTTGTCTAATAAAAGTTGGATGGATAAAGGCCTTTTTTCTTATTGGTTTCTAAAGCACTGTCTGATGTATGCGCCCACTGCCAGACCACTATTGCTAATACTTTATGGGCACTTTAGCCACTATTGCCCTGAAATCATAAGTCTCTATGGAGCAGGATATCATTATTTTTACCCTTCCACCAACTACTATGCACATCACTGAGCCTCTTGACAAGGGAGTTTTAAGTCCTCTGAAGTCAGCCTGGAAATGTATGCTTTAAGTTTTTTGCTAGTATTCCAGAAGAAGTGCATTACACAATCTAAATTCATTGAACTTTTCTAAAGCATGGAGTCAATCAATGACTATCAGAAATGTTAAGGCTTTTTCGTGCAACTGGAATTTGTCCTTTTAATCTGAAAGCTACAATTATAAAGCAATTTGAGCCATCTGATATGATGAAAGATTCAAAAGTGAAATATCATCCAATGTATAGTCCTCAACTGAAGTCTAAGGGGGTTCATAATATTTTACCCAGTCACGACAGCAACCATGATGACTCTGAAGCTTCAGATACTGACCGATGTGTGACTACTTTTCCCAATATTCCAACATTTGGAAACTATTAGGACTATAAAATTCCAGAGCTCCCAAAGTTATGCCAGGAAAAGGAAACTGGTCTTGTTTTGACAAGTGCAGAAAATTGTCAACGTCTACAAGAAAAAGACAGTGTTGTTTTGGTATGAACATTTGTTTTGGTTATAGTTGTAGCTATAGTTCGAATGGTCTATAGTTTAAAACTTGAATAATGTTTTAGTTCTAGATTTAGTTTAGTTTCAGACTTTTATTTTCTTTTAGTTTTAGTTTAGTTTTAGTTTTTTCCCTATTAAAATAAATTTAGTATAGTTTTAGTATTGAAGAAAAGTTTTAGTTTTAGTTAAAATTTGAGTAAATATATCCCATTAGTCTCGCTAGCCAGACCATTTCCCAGCCTACATTCATTTGGGTGGACGGCGGGGAAGGGTCTGGTACATTGCTTACCTTGTTCTTGTTCTTGCGTACAAAATCATACGCATCCGCTTTCTTCCGCTTTTGTACTATAAACGCCATGCTACGTATACCAAAATCACGTGATTATCATGGCGACTGACTGTATAGCTTGTGGAGGAAATGCTGAAAAGAGGGCTAGAGTTGCTGCGAGTAGTTGTTATGCGTTGCTGAAGGGTTACTTGAGTAGGAGATGTCAGGAGAATGCTATTGATGTTGATTTAGATGCTGTTATTGAAGCTTCATATGTGTGTAGGTCATGTCATAACACTTACAAAACTCACCAGAATAAAGATGACCGTTATTTGAGGCAACTAGTAGCTCTTTTGAGTATGTTGTCAGTTTTCGATCTGGTTCTGTGGGGAGTTCTGTCAGTCCGGTTACTCGAAATAGGCCACCCATCAGAAGCTACACGTATTAGTGCAAACTGGAAAAGGTCTTGTACCTCATCTCAGTCACCTGTATCTCCTACTGTTAATGTAAGAAAACTTATGTTTAGCTGTTACATGATTGTTGTATCTACAGGTCGGAATTGATTACCAAAGTGGATGCAAGGTGTATCAACAACTAACTCCTAGGAGGAAAAACATCATTCGTAGGATTACCAGGTCTGGAAATAGCGCTAAGAGTATAGCTAAAATAGCTCTCTCAGATGCTGAAGTGATGCGGTACCTGGCTATTGGAATAGGGAAGCAAGTTTACTTTGAGTTAAAAACTCTTTGTTCAAAGCATGTGAACTCTGTGCAAAAGTCGAAAGATAAGGATAACATTGTTCCATTCCCCTGGACCAGTGTTATTGAAGAAGCCAGAGTACATTGTCCAACATTATATGATGTCTTGCATTTATGTACAGTTACAAAAGGAGTAAGGTAAGCAGGAACAGTACTCATTGTTGTTGAGTATTACATGTAGGTCAAATAGACTAAACTTCATTGGTGTTGTTGTTTGTTTGCTGTCCAAATTTCATAATAATCATATGTCACTTTTTCAGAAGTTAATTACAGCTCTCTTGTATTCCGGTTATTGTGGGACTACATTAAGTATAAATTTTTTTTATTCTGTTCATTTATGAAGAATAGGTGTATATTAGACTTCAAAAGCTGTCATTATGTCTTAGTAAGAATTCTCTTTATCCACTCATTGACAATCTTGGCAGCGATCGTGACAGCACAGTTATGCGATGGAGGCATGATTTGTTGCAACTCATGCCTACAGGGGTATATAATTTAACATTCCATGAAAAATTATTGCATCTTTATATTGCAGTCCGAGTACTACACACAATTTGTAACAGATGATGATACAGAATTTATCACTTTCGATAATATCGAGGTATGGAATTACATTTTTTAATTAATGAATACGATTGTCATTAATATAGGGTGACACTGACAGTTTATCGGAGCAAAGTATAGATGATGCTATTGACGATTCTTGTAAAGTTGTATGTAGTCAGAAAACAACTCATTCTCTTTCAGAGGTTAAAGATGAGATTTCTTTTGCTTTACATTTTAATACTGTATCAATATAGTATGAATCACAGCAGTACTTTGACAGTTGTTTAAATGCTTCTTGTCTGGAAGAATTATGTAGACGGGTAGAGTTTGAAAGTGCTTCCTCTCAAGATTTCGATGACTGTACCCCACCACCACCTTCCTTTACAGATATATCTCATTGCTCTGGTATTATATTCATTTTGATGCTGAAAATATTGTCAGTAACATCCTTTATGTAGATATGTCTATATGTAGTATCGAATCGGGCTCCTTCAGCAATTGGAACGGTTTTAAAATTGTTGGGGATAATTTGGACATAACTATTCGTCCTAGGAGCCAACAGGTAGATCACAAAGCAAGTTCCCTTCACTTCTTCCATTGTTTTGCGGTTCGAGATCAAGCTAATTTTTCTCTGGCATCTGAATTTCCTAATTCTTTAATACATCGACCCATTTCTGATCTTCCAATCCAAACTTTGTTACCATCGCTGTCTGATGACCAAGCATTGTTGTCTCATTTTTCAGTTATTATTAGTCGTGTCTTGGATAAGGAAATACCATACTTTTCAACGACATTTCATGATGTCATTCAATCACACATAAGGCACAAACACTATGATAAAATGTCACTTAAATCTGAAACAGTGAGTTCCATGTGTTTTTCTAGCTTGTTAAGAGTATAATTTGAACTGATTTAGGTACCATTGGGTGTCATTCTTAAGAACGAGAACATATTGGAGGAGATGATGGATATTATGATGCAACTACATTGTTATGTCCCAATAAAGCAGGGTTCCATTACAGATCCAGAAAGTAGTGTGGAAGTATCTTGAAACGTTGTTCACAAGATATTTGGCGGGGATCAACTCACCAGAAAACGTACAGGTCAGCAAGAGAAGGAAGAAGAAATAGCATCAATGCTGCTACTAAGTTGGATGGCTTTGTACCTGTTTGTGAGGATTGGCATGCCAAAAAGATTTTTTTGGAGGTTAGTTATTTTCAAGTACTGACATGTACATGTATATATGATGTATTTGCTGGAATTTGGAACTTAAAATTAATGAAGACACATTTTGATTTATTTTATTTTTTTACTTGTAGATGATATGGTCCTTGATGTATGACACGAAAAGCTTTTCGGATAAAGGGACTTTGTATCAATTAAGGAACATGATCGATCGCAGAATCATTTCTGCAACAGCTGCAGAAGATTATAATGCTTGTGAGGAGTTTTTTTTTCAGTTGTTGAAAGTCACATAGTGACTGCAGCGATGACTGTTTTACAAATGGATTCAACTGATGACATTCCTGTTCATCCACTTCTGACTGAAGATCTTTGGGCTAAACCAGTGGAAAGCAGAAAACAAGTTATTGAGGAAGTAACGAAGCAGATCTGTTTACTTTTTGTGGATATTTTTGCCCAGGATGATCATGTAGATGGAGATGATGTGAAAAGTTACGCTATGCAAATATTGTCACGGCCTATTGTTTATGGAGTTTGTCGATGGTATTAGGGAAGGAGACAGGGACAGAACTTTACGTTGTTGGCGCTATCTAATGCTAGTCTTTAAAGCAAGGAGAAGAAAAAACTATAGTATTGCAGCACTTAACCTTCTAGCACAATACCACTTCTTTTTGCCACAAAGGCAGGCGGACCAGCTGATATGGTCAAGATGTGTCAATATTCACGGGCTTCCTGGAAGGAAGGAATATTCCATCTGATTTATACATGGAACATTTGAATAGGATTTGTAAGGAAGCAGTTTTAACATTGGGAGCTAATAAAACGAAAGCAGCATTACAACGTGTTGGTCGATGTGTTGGTGTATTGCATAACTTGCTGTCTCAATATAATACTGATACAAAAGTGGCAGACATTTCAGGACGTCACTCTTTACTTGCCATTTCACCACACAATGCGCCTCATCAATGATCAGGCCGATCAATCGTTTTTTATATACTTTAGACGAAAAGGTACATCTCCAATTCTCAACAAGTTGCTCTGGACTCATAAATAAAATTGAGTAAACTCCAGCAGTCACATTCTTCATAGTTTCAGGAGAAGATTCATGATCAAGGTAGCCAGCGGATACATTTTTACTCAAAAGTTCTGTAACTTGATCACAAATGAGAGCAGTTAAAGGAGTTCAACTATGATGATTGATTTATTATGAGGTGTCCTTCCTTGGTATACATCTATAGCATGTGGGAGACTTGTAAAGCAGGCTGACTTGCCAAAGCCAGTGGGCAAGATTACAAAAACATCTCTTCCTTCCATAAATGCCTTAATAGAGTACAACTGTTCTTCCTTAAGAGAAAAATAACCAAGCAAACTTGAAGCTTCTACTGCTGCCTCCATGCCTACTCACGTGTTCACATCTGGTCATTTGACAGGAAGTGATGTAAGGCATTTTTGCTGAGCTTGCAAGAACAAGAACAGGGTAAGCAATGTACCAGACCCTTCCCCGCCATCCACTGAAATGACTGTAGGCTGGGGAATGGTCTGGGTAGCGAGACTAATATCCCATAGCACTAGCCATTTTCTAAAATTACAAGTACAATATGATAACCATGGGTAAACCAGGAGCATATAACATATGCATGCATGATCTGTAACTAACTGAAAGGTATTTTGGTTTATAACATGTAATTGTATTAGTTTTAGTTTGTTTTGAAAACATCATTGACTTTTAGTTATAGTTTTAGTTTAGTTCTTTCACTCTGTTTAATTTTTAGTTTTAGTTGTAGTTTTAGTTTAAACCTCCAATGACTTTTTTCTAAAAGTACTTTTAGTTTTAGTTATAGTAAACCAAAACAACACTATAAGACAGGATAAAAAAAGAGAAGTTACTTCATAAAGAAAAGAAGCAGAAAATGAGACCAGAAAAAAGAATTGCGAAATTGTATAAGAAGATAGCTGACAAAGATATCAATTACTCGAGGACAGGGTAGTGGTCAAAAGAAGACTGGTAAGTTATTGAATATGGAATTGTCTAAAACTTATCAATAAATGAAGCTTTAAAAATTGCTGAGCTCTATAGGATTATAAAATTGAATCTTGTTAACTTGTAAAATAAACTCTAGCAGACCTTTTCATTCTATACTGTAGTTGACAGTGATGAAGAGGAATGGTGTATTGGCTTATTCAGTGACAATGAAGATTATCATAGATTACCAGTTACTAGAGGAAGTGGTCAAATGAAAGCTGGTTAAAAATAATGCCAGGGAGCCCCCCAACAAACTAAATAATAATGGTATCATTTTCACACCATTGGCAACTATCGGCGACATTACATTTGATAATACTAATTCTTTCCCTATATACCCTACAAATATACTACCTAATGCCAATATACATAAGGGCACGGTGATTGCCCTAGAAGACTCTCGCACATTATCTCAAGACCCTTGCCTTGCATTTGTCTCTGTCATAAATGTTAAATACACCAACCTCATTGAATAGAATGCGGTCAACACACTCCCCAATCAATATGCAAATGCTAACATAAATACCGACCCTAAAAAGGTATATAAAAAAAAATAATACGATGCTCTGATTTTCTCTTCCCTTGTACCCCATACCACGATTATTAAATACATCGGTATTAATACCCCCTCAATATGTTTATTCATGTACTTGTATATTTTATTGTACTTTATAGTGAGAAAGAGGAATTATCATGCGTTAGTGACAATAAAAATGGACGTGGGATACCAGTTACTAAAGGGCATGGGCGTGGTCGTCGTCAAATGAAAGCTGGTAAATTATTAACTGTGATATGTTTATTCATGTACTTGTACATTTTATTGTAATTCATAGTGAGGAAGAACTATTATGTATCAGTGACAATGAAAATGGACATGGATTGCCAGTTGCTAGATGGTGTGGGCATGGTATTCGTCAATAAAAGCTGGTACATCATATTAACTGTAATGTCTTTATTCATGTACTTGTACATTTTAGTTCATAGTGAGTAAGAAGAATTGTCATGTATCAGTGGCACTGAAAATGGACACAAATTAACAGTTACTAGAGAGCGTGGGTGTGGGTGTTGTCAAATACAAGCTGGCACATTATATTAACTGATATGTTTATTCATGTACTTGTATATTTTATTGCAGTTCATAGTGAAAAAGAAGAATTATCATGTATCAGTGACAATGAAAATGGACGTGGTTACCAGTTGCTAGAGGGTGTGGGCGCGGTCGCCGTCAAAGGAAACTTGGTACATTATTTTAATTGTAATATGTTTATTCATATACTTGTATATTTTATTGTAGCTCATAGTGATAAAGAAGAATTATCATGTATCAGTGACCATGAAATTGTATGTGGATTACCAGTAACTAGAGGGCGTGGTCGCCGTCAAACGAAAGCTGGTACATTATATTAATTGTGATGTGTTTATTCATGTACCACATAGCAGGAAATTTTGGAGGGAATTAAATTTGGCAAATTTGGCATTCTGATAGCCTTTCGCCAAAATAAAAGCTGAAATTTTAAGCATGTATGCGCAGGTTAAGTGGCACGTGGCCACCAATTTGCCAATTAAAATTCGCCAATCATCAAAATTTAGCAGTTCACCAAATTTTAGTCCCTCCAAAATGTCCTGCTATACAGTACTTGTATATTTTATTGTCGTTCATAGTGAGAAGGAAGATTTATCATGTATCAGTGACAATGAACATGGACACAACCAGTTACTAGAGGGAGTGGATGTGGGCATCTTCAAATGAAAGCTGGTACATGATATTAATTGTGAATGTTTATTCATGTACTTGTACATTTATTGTAGTTCATTGTGAGAAAGAAGAATTATTGTGTATCAGTGACAATGAAAATGGACGTGGATTACCAGTTCTAGAGGGTGTGGTTGCCATCAAATAAAATCCGGTACATAATATAAATTGTGATATGTTTCTTCATTTACTTGTACATTTTATTGTAGCTCATAGTGAGAAAGAAGAAATATTGTGTATCAGTGACAATAAAGATGGACGTGGATTACCAGTTACTAGAGGGCGTTGCCGTGGTCGTCGTCCAGCGAAAGGTGGTACATTATATTAATTGTAATATGGTTATTGATGTAATTGTATATTTTATTGTAGTTCATAGTGAGAAAGAATTATCGTGTATCAGTGACAATGAAGATGGATGTGGATTGCCTGTTACTAGAGGGCTTGGGTGTCGTCAATTGAAAGCTGGTACATTATGTTAATTGTGATATGATTTTATTCATGTATTTGTATATTTTATTGTAGTTCATAGTGAGAAAGAATTATATTGTATCAGTGACAATAAAGACTAACAAGGATTACCAGTTATTTGAGGCCGTGGTCAAAAGAAAGCAAGTAAATTATTAAAATTTTTGCATTTAAATGTGATTGAAGTAGACAGTAAGAAAGTACATGTACTTTAGTTTTGCCAAATTTCTTTTAATTTTGAGTGAGGTGCTCTGTACAATGCAACAACTTTTTTGTATTTTTTATACTTTCGCATGGACATAAATTATGCTTTGCTTTGTCCTTAAATTTTACATTCTTTTAGTAGTACTTGTAATTATGAAATACTTGTAGATCAGAAGATGGTAAAGTTACAAGAAGTCAAGGAGAAAGTACTGACAAAGCAGAAGGTACAACTGAGATGTACGAGTATGTATCCTCATGCTTGAATGTTTATCGTATGTTTAGCTCAATTGCATGTATATGGACAGTTGCAGTGTGAACGAAGCAATACAAATCTTGTTCAAATTGAAGGTACTTCTATCTTTTTATGTTGTTCATTTGTATTTTATATCTATTTAGCTCATGAAACAGATCACTGGTGGCAGAAAAGTTTTATTTGAAATTTTCGGACCTTAACTGTATTGTTCAAGGGTTCATGTTACAAGATACCATTATAAATGCTGCTCAAAGCATCTTGAAGAAGCAATTTCCTTTCAAAGGAGAATTTCAGAGTAATTTAAATAATCAAAGACAAAGGAAATTATTTCATACTCTTCCATTTGATTCACACTCTATACCAATATTACATACAGGTATAATATGCATAATACATTTGTGCACAATATTTAATTTAAGGTTTTTCATTTTTAGGTAATTGTCATAGGATATGTGTGGAAATATATCAAAAAGGAAGTGAAAGTGATGGATAGCTTAGGTGAATTGTTGGATTTGAATGACCACACTTTAATTCAAATAGCAAAGTTAGTGAAATCTGAGAAGACCTCTATAATCATACAACAAGTTTCAACACAGCAACAATTAGGTGTTTGTGACTGTGGGCTCATTGCAAAGCCAATTCGCTAGAATTATATTTTTGAAGTCTCACTTTACATCAAAGATTTCACCGCAAGAGAATGCATCATCATTTAATTGAGTGTTTAGAAAACCACCATTTCACTCCTTTCCAAAAACAGCAACACATGTTTTATTTTCTCATAAGAAAACAATTGAAGTGGTTGTGTATTGTATGTCATCTTCCTGATACATATGATGAAGAGATGATCCAATGCATCACAAGAAGTGCATTTGAAGTTCACGATATTGGTGATGAAAGGCCTTGTCTTAACTGCGACTCTAAAGTGTAAGATTTTGAGTTTTATTGCGTTCAATTAACTATTCAAAAGTTATTAAAAATAAATTTTCTTGTAAAAGACCGTAAATTGATTATGTCACGTGATACTATTGAGCTGGTACATTTTTATGGAACCAGAGTAAAGATAATCATCTATACCTTGCCATTATGAGGTAATGACATACCTATCATTTAACCATAGCAGCACTTCAAATTTTTTTTTTGTTCAAAAGAAATTGTCTAAAATTTGTGAGATTTGTCTCAAATATGAGAGATTTGCCTGATGATTGGAATTTGAGACACCATGTTTTAGAGCTGATAACTTCGAGCTGTTTGTGCAGGTGCTATGAATATTTGTATGAAAGGTAAGGATAGTTGCGGCTATAACATTCTGCAGTTTCATGTCAATAGGATGTTTTCTATGTAAAAGAAGCATCTGAAATTATGTGGGTCTAAAGATTGATGACATACTCTAATACTGGCATATTGTCCAACGCAACACCCACAAACAATATATACATACACATAAACCCTCGCATGGACCACACAAGAAACTTACAACAGAAGATAACTAACTATGACGAAACAGTGACAACCAGACCAAAACAAACTTCATCCACAGCTTCTGCCTAATATAACAAAAAGCTCAAGAGTTCTTGTAACATACGCTAAGCCGGAGCTATAACCACAACTGCCACCGCCACTGCACTGCACTGAGAATATAAACAATCGAGCAGTAAAAAATGCCAAACACAAAAAACCAAAAAACAATTTTGCAAGGAAGTGGGTGTAGTTGTAGTTAACGGGAGCAAGCATATGAATACAATTAGTTATGTGGGTGGTTAATCTGAACCCATGCGCATTACTCCCAATATTAATTGCTCACGTGGACGAAAGGGCTGCCACCATCTGAGTGTTTTTCATATTTCCAATGTTGTCTTTGTGGTTCCAGGTCCTTTTGCTAGTTTGCATGAGTTGGAACACCGATTTGAGTAATAGAAAGCTTGAACTAGGTACTTTATTCTCAGACTGGTATCAATTATGCCTTTTTATACCGTGAATATTATAATCACTTACAGAATGTACCTTCTTGTTAATTGTGTGTGGCAATGGGCTTTTTTAGTCTTCCTGGCTTATCATATCTTCCGCCACACTTCCTGCTTTCTGAACTGTAAGTAATGTGTCAGTCAATTTATTATTAGTATTATTATTAATAATGTAAGCCTTAGTATTGAGATCATGGGGATATAATAAGGGTTTCGTCACTTGTGATTGCCACAGGGTAATAATGTTGCTTCGACAAGGCCTTAAGGTAATCCTTTTATTGAGTCTTAAGTAACCATTATAACCTGAGGATATAAATCAGAATGTTGTCATGATGACAAGTACCAATCCCAATTGTGCGAAAGATGCATGTTTTGCAATGGAAAATACTTGTTGCAAGGGCTTGAATTTGTTTCAGCAGAGGAGACATATTGAGAAACTAAAGGCCAACATACACAGGGCAACATTGTTGCTTGAAACTTTGGGATTACTTTCATTTTGTTGCCTCAAGTTGAGCAGTGGTCAACTTGAAGCAACAAATATCAAAGTAACCACAAAGTTTCAAGCAACAATGTTGCCCCATGTATGGTGGCCTTAAGTCATCCAGGTCTTGAAGACACATACTACCCATATTTATCACAAAAAATAGTTAAAATTCTAGAAACAATGAGTAATGGCCTATTTTATGGCCACTCATTAAACTCAGGTCATGTTTAATAGACAGAACTAGATGGTAAATGGAGAAAATTTAAATAGCACAAGACATTTGAAACATTCCCTGTCACTGCTATGCTTTGATTGATGACCTTTAGATCATTCAGTTTTACACTCCCTCAGGCTGCTTGTTGTGGTATAATAAAGGCTTTTTTCAAGCTCTTACATCACTTTCTATAGCTAAAATTGCAGATAAGAGTGCATTTGCAGCTTGTATATCATTGCTTACCTTGAAATACCAGGCATTACTTTACTATTATTGTACTTTTCTCCTTATTATTTTGCTGTTAAAGAAGGAAACCAGTGTTAGAAGTAGTAAAGATGAACAGAATTATGTTGCAATTTGTCTAGATGGCAGTTAAACTATAAGAACCATTATTGCCAGTGAACAGTTTATTCACAGAATCTTTTCTGCTTGTTTTGCTTCCATTTTGGACTCTTTAGTATTTCTGTCCAATTTTTTCATTTCCTCTTCAGTAAAGAGAATATCAGGCAAGTTTTGTTGCCAGCAAAGCTGCAGCAGCCAAAAACACAGCAATTATTTACCATTGCAGCTAATGGCTCTGACAGCTTATTCTCAAATTGGGGAGTTGCACTTGTCAATATAATGCAATGATAACTCATATCCTCAATTAAAACCATGACTAATTATCGTGACAACCAAGAGTACAATGAATTTTCTAGTGAGACAAAGTTACGTTTCAAAAGTGCAAAGTTCACACACCAGAAAGGAATTTAGTAGCAGTTGAGTCGTTGTTTCTTTTAGTAGACGATTTGACTCAAAGGAATGGCCCCAGAGGTAGTGATTTAATTTATGAATTCAAAAACTGTACCATACCACACCATGGCCTGTACTCCATGGGGTAGTGGAGCTTGATATTGATAAGTACACAGTACATTCACTGTAGTTGTTCGACATTTTTATATACATGTAGTTCTTCTACAGGCATTTACCTTACTGGAAAAATAGGTTGCATATCAGTTTTTGCTTACATGTGCAGCAATAGACTGGAAGCTCAAGTAGGTACAAGTTTGAAATATAAAGGCTATCATACATGCTTTATAGTTATATTATGTTGCTTTAACTTTTGTGTTTTCTACTGTTCGGCAATCTTGAACCGTATGGAATCAATTTTTGCAGATTTTATTTTGTGAATTAAAAAAAAAGAATCCACAAAAATTTTGGGCCACCGCTATATGGTTGTTTTTACACTCCGAAAGTATCTATTCATGCATTAAATAATTCAAGCACTGACATATACCATTTTTACTGTACCTTTGAATTTTCAAAGTATTAAAACTGTGTTTTCTAATTTTATTTTTGTAGTTTTGACTTTACATCAATAACATTTTATAATAATGAAAATGTCACGAAAAGCTATCAGCATTGTTCATCGTGGTTGACCAAACTCTGGATGCTGTATTTCCATAGAGATATTGAAGCTTAATAAAATATTTTTCCATGAAATCATTTGTTATTCTACTAATATTTAGAAACTTTTAAGAAATGCAGAGAATAGGTGAGTGTTTAACTCTCTTCAATTTGTCTATGATTCAGACTGGTAATTTTTTTTAATGAACATCATAGATCTTGTTTGGCAGAGTAATTGTTGGCTACAATGATGTTGTCAATGGCTGTGATGCTCATTTTTCATGATGTAAAGAAATTTAATGTGAGTTAAGTAACATTTTTAGAATAATACATAAATAGTATTTTTAAATTAGACGCAATCTTTCTGTCAATAGAATATTGGAGATTGGTGTGGAGCAGTTGATTATGTTGTTCCAGATGGGCATAAAACATGCTTTTTTGCTGAAACTTTTTAAACTAGAACGTGTTGTTAATACATGTATGTTTATGTGGCTGATTCTATTGGAACGAAATCATCCCTACTTGAGCAGTAATTTTAAAGCAAAAAATCCACAGAACTGCAGTTTAGTTTAGACCACTTTTTTCGTCTTCATTGTCATCATGTCCCGCCAGTCTAATTGTTGCAATATAATGTAAGTTATAGTGACTGACGCATTAGTGAAATTTATTGTTAATAATTTTATTAATAAAATTAAGTTATGTTAACTTGGAATTTGTTTAATTTTAGAGAATACATTTACCCTAAAAGAACAATGATGTTGATTGTAGCATACCTTGTAGATAGAAATGTCTGTCTTCCAAAATTTCGGTATATTTCCCATAAATGTGGCCTTTGCAGATTCTATTTTACCAAGGCTTATGTGTATTAATTTTTGTTCTCTTTACAATCACATTCCTAGCTGATTATTTTTAGAAATGAAAACAGGCTACAAAGTTCTTCATAAACAATAATGTAAAGTATACAGCAGACCTCAAGACCATGTTAATACAGTTATGTTTTTTAAAAGCTTACAAAACGGTACCGTTACTAGTATGGTTGCAGTTCAGATTTTAGTGTATACTTGATACGAGATGTTCATACAGCAACATCATAAGATGTTATGCTACAGGAGCATAGCATTATACAGTACAAGCCGTAAACTAACGTTAAACTAAAGCTAAATATTCAAGTATTACGTATACAGTAAGTGCTACTATACGTGCATACTTAATACGTAGGGGTATGTTACGTTATGTAATTGTGTATTAAAGTTAACTTGCAGGTA